CCCCAAAACCCCAAAACCCCAAAACCCCAAAACCCCAAAACCCCTTTTGCTCAACCAACAATTGAAACATAAATATAGAACTCGGGTTTCATCAATAATTTCAGATGATTTAGTAAAAGTTATTGGAACTGTCTGGCAGCATCAAAGATCAGTCTCACTAATTTTCCATGGATGTATCCAAGATTCTGAAGATCTCCTGAAATCAAATTGGCGATTCCCAAAGGAATAGATGCAATAAACATTCCGAAGTTCTGGGCTACAGCTGTGATAACAGCTGCAATCTCGAACCAAATGATGGTATCAAAGAAGAAGAGTCTTGCACTCTTTCCAATTTCATCTCCTTTGCAATAAATTAATTGCCCAGTCACTTGATCAAAGGCATTATTAATATCTCTACCAAGTTGGAAGAGGTTAACATACTGCAACGTCAAAGTTCTGAATAACCCAATAATAATGCCTATGGAAATTAGAAACGGAAATTACCAGAAACTATTGTTTCTTGGAACTGATCGTTCATGCACCAATCCTTGATCTTATAAGTCTTTGACCAAGAATTATAACCATTTACCACTCCGTTCCAATATGTTCTGATACCATTGAAGAAGGTTTGTCTTAAGTTAACCTCTTGTCCTAAGTTTCCTACCACATTGTTGGCTTTCTCTACAAATTCTTCTCTGCTTAGACCTTGAGCCAGCATCACAATCACAGTGAAGACGATGACTAATTTTAGCTTGTTGTTCATCATATTGCTATATTTTAGTAAAACTAAGTTTGGGTATAACTTGTTAAGAAACATTTAAAGGAATCAGCAAATCTATGATGAAGAACTCTCAAGTAGATGACTTTGAAACTTTATACAAATACTTAGCGAAGCATATTGCATCTCACTACAGTTAAGCACTCCTCTACTAACAAAACCCAGTTGACCTTCTTCACGCATCAGGAGTACCCCCAAAAAGTCTATCAAGCGCTTCCTCCCTATAATTGACATACTGAGTACTGAAATTAAATAGTTATTAATCCCTGGACTCAACTTCTAAATCTTGTTTTGGGGTTTTGGGGTTTTGGGGTTTTGGGGTTTTGGGGTTTTGGGGTTTTGGGG